AGAGAACAGAAAGCAAGAGAGAACAGGGAAAGCAGAGAGACAGGGAAAGCAAGAGAACAAGAGAACAGGGAAGCAGAGAGAACAGAGAAGCAAAGATAACAGAGAAAGCAGAGAGAACAGAGAAACAGAGAGAACAAGAAAGCAGAAGAGAACAGGGAAAGCAGAGAGAACAGGAAAGCAGAGAGAACAGAAAGCAGAGAAAGCAAGAGAACAGAGAAGCAGAGAGAAACAGAAAGCAGAGAACAGGGAAAGCAGAAGAACAGGAAAGCAGAGAGAACAGGGAAACAGGAGAAAGCAGAGAGAACAGGAGAACAGCAAACAGAGAGAACAGGAAAGCAGGGAAAGGGAAAGCAGAGAAGAGAGAAGCAGGAGAAAGCAGAGAGAACAGGGAAAGCAGAGAGAACAGGGAAAGCAAAGAGAACAGAGAAAGCAGAGAGAGCAGGGAAGCAAAGAGACAGGGAAAGCAAAGAACAGGGAAAGCAGAGAGAACAGGGAAAAGAGGGAAGCAGAGAGGAACAGGGAAAGCAGAGAGAAACAGGGAAGAAGAGAACAGGGAAAGCAGAGAACAGAAAACAAGAGAACAAAGCAGAGAGAACAGGGAAAGCAGAGAGAACAGGGAAAACAGAGAGAACAGGGAAAGAGAGAACAGGGAAAGCAGAGAAACAAGAGAAAGCAGCAGAACAGAGAAAGCAAAGAGAACAGAGAAAGCAGAGGAACAAGAAAGCAGAGAGAAAAGGAGCAAAGAGAACAGGGAAAGCAGGGAGAACAGAGAAAGCAGAGAGAAAGAGAAACAGAGAGAAACAGAGAAAGAGAGAGAAACAGGAAAAGCAGAGAGAACAGGGAAAGCAGAGAGAAAACAGGGAACAGAGAGAAGAAATCAGAGAGAACAGAGAAGAGGAGAGCAGAGAAGCAGAGAGAACAGAGAAAAGAGAGAAAGGGAAAGCAGAGAGAACAGAGAAAGCATAGAGAACAGGGAAAGCAGAAAGAACAAGGAAAAGCTGAGAGAACAGGGAAAGCAAAAGAACAAGGGAAAAGCTGGAGAACAGGGAAAAGCAGAAAGAACAAGGAAAAGCAGGGAGAGCAGGGAAAGCAGAAAGAACAAGGAAAAGCAGGGAAAGAAGAAAGCAAGAAAAGGAAGCAAGCAGAAAAGGAAAAGAAGAACAAGAAAAGCAGAAAGGGAAAGCAGAAAGAACAAGGAAAAGCAGGGAGAACAAGGAAAGCAGAAAGAACAAGGAAAAGCAGGAAGAGCAGGGAAAGCAGAAAGAACAAGGAAAAGCAGGGAAAGCAGAAAGAACAAGGAAAAGCAGGGAAAGCAGAAAGAACAAGGAAAGCAAGGAAGCAGGAAAGCAGAAGAACAAGAAAAGCAGGGAAAGCAGAAAAAGCAGAAAGAACAAGGAAAAAGCAGAAAGAAAGCAAGGAAAGCAGGAAAGCAGAAAAGAAAAGGAAGCAGGGAAAGCAGAAAGAACAAGGAAAAGCAGGGAAAGCAGAAAGAACAAGGAAAAGCAGAAAGAACAAGGAAAAGCAGGAGAGCAGGAAAGCAGAAAGAACAAGGAAAGCAGGGAAGCAAAGAAAGAACAAGGAAAAGCAGGGAGAGCAGGGAAAGCAGAAAGAACAAGGAAAAGCAGGGAGAGCAGGGAAAGCAGAAAGAAGCAGGAGAAAGGGAAAAGCAGGAAGCAGAAAGAACAAGGAAAAGCAGAAAGACAAGAAAAGCAGGGAAAGCAGAAAGAACAAGGAAAGCAGGGAAAGCAGAAAGAAACAAGGAAAAGCAAAGCAGGGAAAGCAGAAAGAACAAAAAGCAGAAAGGAAAAGCAGGGAAGCAGCGAGAAAACAAGGAAAAGCAGGAAAGCAGAAAGAACAAGGAAAAGCAGGGAAGCAGGGAAGCAAAAGAACAAGGAAAAGCAGGGAAAAGCAGAAAGAACAAAGAGAAAAGCAAGAAAAACAAGGAAAAGCAGGGAGAGCAGGAAAGCAGAAAGAACAAGGAAAAGCAAAAGCAGAAAGAGAAAAGCAGAAAAGGAAAGCAGGGAAAGCAGAAAGAACCAGAAAGCAAGGAAAGCAGAAAGAAAAGCCAAGGGAGAGCAGGGAAAAGCAGAAAGAACAAGGAAAAGCAGGGAGAGCAGGGAAGCAGAAAGCAAGGAAAAGCAGAAGAACAAGGAAACAAGAGCAGGGAAAGCAGAAAGACAAGGAAGCAAGGAAAAGAAAAGCAGAACAAGGAAAAAGCAAGGAAGCAGAAAGCAGAAAAGCAGGGAAGCAGGGAAAAAAGAACAAGGAAAAGCAGGGAGAGCAGGGAAAGCAGAAAGAACAAGAAAAGCAGGGATAGCAGGAAAGCAGAAAGAACAAGGAAAAGCAGAAAGAAACAGGAAAAAGGAGAGCAGAGGAAAGCAGAAAAGGAAAAGCAGAAAGAAAAAGCAGGAGAAGCAGGAAAGCAGAAAGAACAAGGAAAAGCAGGGAAAGCAGGGAAACAGAAAGAACAAGGAAAAGCAAGGAGAGCAGGGAAAGCAGAAAGAAC